AGAATGGTTAGAAGATAAAGGTCAAGTACTAAATATTCAGATGAGAAGAACATTGCATAAAGCATTTAAGGTATGGTTGTATGAGGTAACAGATTTTTCTAGTTGGGAAAATATATGGGACATAACTAAAAAAAAATCTTTCTCCCCCTTTTAAAAGGGATCAATATTTGCTGTGTTTGATAGCATTGAATCTGCTAAAAAGTTTGTGGAGACCCCTGGACAAAAATACAAAGACACAGATCTGCTAATACTTTTCAAGTAAGTCTTTTTGCTGATGTTTCTTCTGGCCACTTATGTGGAATTGACACACTGGGGTAAGGAATATGGAATAGCCTCCTCTGTAAGTCCAGTAGTTTTGGCATCCATAGGATTCTTTGAGAAATGCTTGAAATTTGTTTAGTGGAAACTTAATCCTTTGAGAATACATAGAAATGTTTATTAATACCTCTTCTCTGTTAGCAATCAGTAAATGAGGCTAACTTATTTTGCATCTAAAATTTATAATCAGGCTGGATACTGAAGTTTGGGCTTTTGGTGTTAGAGAATAAATCACTGTACAATTTTTATCTGTTCTTCTCATAATCTATATGCCTGTATTTTATATAGTACAAAGGATTTGGATCACATTTTTTTAATGTGTGTGTCTAAAAACTTGGACAAACCAGAGCATTTGCATGATAAAGTTAGATGGAGGACCATTGTCTCCTGCTTTTGCATTACATAGTATAATTTTTCTCTCTTTACCGCGACCAGCACGGCTAGAGAGTGGACGAGTTCTGTGTAGGGGCAACGGGGGATTGAAAAAAAGAAAGAGACAGACAGAGAGACAGTAGGGAAAACGGGCCAGGTGGGATGCTGCCCTCCAATGCAGAGACAGTGACCCAGAGCTGGTGCAGCACGTTTATTATAATACAGCATGATACCAGAAAGTTTTACTAGAGTTTTAAGACCAAGGAAATTATGTGAAATCATGGTTAAGGATCAAGCTGCAATTCTTCATTCTTGTGGCTTCTTTGTCATTGTCACTCCTGGCTGAGTCCATTCCTGGCGCCTGGCTGAGCTTAGATAATGAACCCCCCCCCCCCCCCCCCCCCCGGTGCCTGAGCTAAAGGTTAGGCTGGACAACATACCTGCCTCAGGCAAGGTATGTTTCCAGGAGGTGGCTCTGCCAATGCCCTAGACTTGGCCAACAATCAGCTCATGTGCCTTCCCAGGCGCTCTCTACAACATAGTATTCTAAATATGCTGTGTACTAAACTGGACTTAGAGATGCACTGTGATGAATCATGCTCAGTGTTACATTCTCAAAAGTGTTTTTTCTTTTTTAGACTTCACCCAAGGATATGTTTGTTGGTTTTTAAACAGAACATGATTATATTTAATACACAAGTTTGATACAACCAAAAAGTAAAACAACAGAGTAAAATAATAACAAAAAAACATGGTATTTCATTTGCAGTGCATGAGAAATTGTTAACATCTTTATGACTTATTTTGCACCTAAATTCATAATCAGCTCTTAAAAACCAGTAACAGAGACACTATAATGCAAGGAAACCGGAAAAAATAAAATAAGTGATGATTAAGCATATACAATGATTTTGCTGAGCAGTAATGAAGAATAATTTCTCTATAGTATCACAGTAAGCAGAATAAAGAACTGACACCTAATAGTCTTCAGTTTTGAACAGTATTGTATAGTTTGAACTCTCATAAAAACTGGGAGGCATATTGAGAGAAGTATCTATAATTAGGGGCCCAAGGATATGTTTTTACTGATTAGACTGGGGGGCGGGGTGGACATCGATGTGAGAGATAGCATCTATGTGTTGTCTCCCATATGTGCCCTGACCAGGGATCGAACCTAAAACTTAGGTATTTTCCCTGATAGGAATTGAACCCACTACCCTTTGGTATACAGGATGACGCTCCAACCGAGCCACCTGGCCAGGACCCCTCAAGAAATATTTTTTAATGTGATTTTTATAATTGTTCTTATTCTTGGGTCTCGGAGGGATTTTAGAACTTTCTCCTTTTTTGAAATGAACACTAGAAAACTCTGAAACTTACATAATTTCTGGTTTACTTTTAAAAAAACATGAATGAGCCCTAGCTGGTTTGGCTCAGTAGATAGAGTGTCAGCCTGCGGACTGAAGGGTCCTGGGTTTGATTCCAGTCAGGGGCACATGGCCTGGTTTGCCAGCTCCGTCCCCAGTGTGGGGCATGTAGGAGGCAACCAATCGATGATTCTCTCTCATCTATGTTTCTATCCCTTCCTCTCTGAAATCAATAAAAAATATACCTTAAAAAATAAGTAAGAAATACATGAATAATAAATGAAAACCAATATGAGATTGTTAATGGATATGGGATTTCTTTTGGGGGTCATGAAAATGTTTTGAAATTAGATAATAGTGATGGTTTTACAACCTAAATATATTAAAAGACATTGAACTATACACTTTAAAACGGTGAATTTTATGGCATGTGAATTCTTAGTAAATCTGTTATTTAAAAAACATAAGAGTAACTTCCTTGATATCTTTTGAATTTTTAGGTAATTATGTTGATGGGAAAAAATGTAACATTCTTATGCCATGTCTTAAAAAATTAAAAATAATTTGAAATCTTTGTTCTCATGAATTAAGCCTCTATATTTCGTGTCCTTTAGGGAAGATTACTTTGCAAAGAAAAATGAAGAAAGAAAGCAAAATAAAGTGGAAGCTAAATTACGAGCTAAAAAGTAAGTAAATAGAGCTAATAGAACATTTTAATTCCTTAAATCTTTACAAAGGTAGAGAGTGGTTCTGGGAAATGGGGCTGGTGATGAGCTTTAAAATGAGTAGCAATAGGCTTACTTACCTTTTGCTCATGAAACATTGGGTTCTTAAACTGCCTTGATAATCTGGGGGCCACATTGTGTGTGCTAGCATTAGACAATCAGAAATTCTAAGGACTGGCTTTGGTTAAGTTTAGTGATCACGATCAAGGTTATCTTTACCATGACTTAATTTTCTCATATAGTAAGTGGAAAATTCTAATTATATTTTTATTTGTAGAGAGCAAGAAGAAAAACGAAAGTTAGCAGAAAATGCTGAAATGGTAAGTATATATTACTGATATCTAAGAATTTAAAGTTGAGAATAAAAGATCTGAGGACTTTCCAGAAAATATGTAAGCAAATCTGTAGTTGTCATTACACTAAAGTAATAGCCAAGTACTATTGGCTAAATTATTATTTATCCAGAGATGATTTAATAAACAGATTTATGTAACTAAAATATATAACTAATTAAATATTATTTGTTGGAGAAATTAAATCAAAAGCCATTGTAGAACAAAGGATGAAATGTACCAACTATTAAAGTACTTAAAAATAGCATTTTAGTTTCTAGTCTTTTCCTTGTATAGGTATAGAGTGGTGTAAGCTACTTCTGATTTGGGGTTGCTTTTAAGAAACTTATTGCCTTGTATGTTTTTATAGAAATCTCTAGAAGAAAAGATTGGCTGCTTGTTGAAATTTTCAGGGGACCTGGATGATCAGACCTGTAGAGAAGATTTGCACATCCTTTTCTCAAATCATGGTGAAATAAAATGGATAGACTTTGTCAGAGGAGCAAAAGAGGTTTGAAAACATTCATTCATATGCTTTATGCCAATGTTGAAAAATCCACAGAAATTTACCTTTTAGATGAAATCATTAATAGAGAGAATCACTGTTTATGCAAATAGCTTCTCTTTAATTACTTGTCCATTTTGTTATTGCTTTGACTCCATGTGATACTTATATTTTGTTTGAAAAATATATGTTTGTTGATTTTTAGAGAAAGGGGAATGGGGAGAGAAACATTGATCAGCTGCCTCCTGCACGCCCCCTACTGAGGATGGAGCCTGCAACCTGGGCAAGTGCCCTGACTGGGAATCGAACCAGTGATCTGGTGCATGAGTCTACTTTCAACCACTGAGCCATATTGGCCGGGCAATACCTGATATTTTATGTTATGCTGTAAATAATTGTTGGATCAGTGACTGCAAGTTTTGTAGTATGTTCCTGATGTTCACTAAAATTCATTGAAACTGGTAATGGCATGGAAGATTTTGCAGACTAGGAAAATTTACTTTGAAGGTATTAACTGTGAGACTAAAAACTTAAGGGTGTGGCTTTTTGTCTTTGATGTAGGGAATAATTCTATTTAAAGAAAAAGCTAAGGAAGCACTGGATAAAGCCAAAGATGCAAATAATGGTAACCTTCAATTAAAGAACAAAGAAGTGACATGGGAAGTACTAGATGGAGATGTGGAAAAAGAAGCATTGAAAAAAATCATAGATGATCAACAAGAATCCCTCAACAAATGGAAGTCAAAAGGTTATACTTATTTTTTTCTGAGAGTTTGGATATTTACTTATTTGCTTGAGTAAAAAGTATAATAGGTGTTCAAAGACAGTGACAAGATATTTAAAACATTTCTTTACTGATTTCTCAATTGCCTCTCTAGGTCGCAGATTTAAAGGAAAAGGAAAGGGTAATAAAGTTGCCCAGACTGGGTCTGCTAAAGGAAAAGTACAGTTCCAGGGCAAGAAAACTAAATTTGATAGTGATGATGAACATGATGAAAATGGTTCATCTGGTAAGTTTTTCTAAGTCCTTTGGTACTTACATGAGAAATTATTTGTGGGAGAGAACAGTGATGTAGTTTTTCAGTTTCTGTATGAGTGGCATTATTGGATTGCAATTTACCCTGGTTGTGCTGTTTTTACAAATGGATAACAAGGATGTTTGGAAGTTAAGGTTAGAGAGCAGAAGGTCTGTACTACAAGAAAAGCCTTTTCTCATTGGTAATTGTGCTCCTTACTAAAATAGAGTAATCCTTACAATGAACTTAACAAAAATTAATTCTGTTATTGTGTAGGACCAGTAAAAAGAGCAAGAGAAGAAACAGACAAAGAAGAACCTGCATCAAAACAGCAGAAAACAGAAAATGGTGCCGGAGACCAGTAGTTTAGTAAACAAATTTTGTATTCATTTTAATTAGGTTTTTAGCTGTATTTGTCTTTGGAGGCTTTTAAAAAGAAAACCGAATTAGGTCCACTTCAATGTCTACCTGTAAGAAAAGAAAATTTTTTATTGTTTAGCTTGTCTTTTTGTTATCCAAATGAGGATTTTTTTTTTAATGTACAGTTGTATGTTATTCAGATGATTCAAATATCAAAAGATTCTTGTACTAAATTGCCTTTGTAATATGAGAATGTATTAGTACAAACGAATAAAATGTATACTATATAAAAAGAGCAAAAACTTAGTTTATTTTTTCTTTTTCTGTCCAAAGTATTTGAGAAATAATTTATCTTAAACTAGAGTATTGGCTGTGGCTTATAAGCTGTTCCATAATCTGTCTCCCAGGCTGGCTTTCTGTATTTACTCAGGCAACTTGATAACATAAGAATTAATTACTTATTGTAAAGTTCAAGAGACTTACTGATTTCTTTTTATGAAATTTGTATGATGCTGGCAGGTCGTATCTCAGCTCTATAAAAAAAAAAAAAAGCAACTTAAGGATAAAAACTGTATTTCCAAGCATTTACCACCTTTGACTAAAAAAACCCCACGAATTAAGAAAACACTAAATGCTGGTAAACTGAAGATTTTAGACCTGTCACTTTAACTTGGTATCCAAGGACTGCCATGTATCCCCAAGGTTACCCATGGCAAGTTGAGTTTGGCATTTCTGCTACTTTGGTAATTTATACCAAAATTTGAGGTTATAGGGAAGAGTTTAGAAGCATAACAAGTGGACAAAAGTATATCCTATGAAAATGATAGTACCTTCCTATTTTTAGTTTCCTAATCAATAGCTAGCAATCTCATACCTATTTTAAAGTTTTATTGTCTGGATTTTAGTAATGGTAGTAAGTAGCCATGTATTTTCCTACTATGCTCTCAAACGAAAACCAACCTTTTCATATTCCTTTCTAAAGTATAATGTAGGTCCTCCAAACTTACTACTGATCCATTTTAGCGGGATGGCAATGAGTCTACCTATCCCTTCATATTTTACAACATAAATTCTAACTATAGGTCACAGCTCTCAAATTTTAATGTGCGTTGAGGCGCAAGTTGTAATTCAGTAGATCTGAGTGGAGCCTGAAATTCTGCAAGTCTAACAAGCTCCCAAGGGATGTCAATGGTCAGCATCTAAAACTACATTTGGAGTAGCAAGGCTCTGGTTTGGTATTATACTGGAATTGTTCTAAGGTGCTCCATGTTGCATATTCGAATAACTTAAATTACATAAGGAATGACAATACTGAATATAATAGAAAGACTGACCTTTTCACATTATATTAAGAACAGTAATAGATCTAGTTATATGATTAACACCATCGTGCTAGTTCATAGTTTATTATCGTGTAAAAACATTTCCCCTTATTGTACTCTTACTTCAGACTTTTCAAAATTATTTGGATTACAGTTAGCTTCTAGTTGTATGCTTTCCCTATTTTAATGTTTGTGAATATTCAGTTTACTAATAAAAATGTACCAAGCATGATTTACTCAGTGTGGATGATTATATTCTATCCCCTACTAAAAAAAAGCTTCATGTTATTTGACTTCAGGGGCAATTAGAAAATTGAAAGACAGGTGATCCAGCCCTAGCTGGTTTGGCTGGATTCCAGTCAAGGACACATGCCTGGGTTGCAGGCTCAATCCCCAGTAGAGGGTGTGCAGGAGGCAGCCAATCAATGATTCTCTCTCATCATTGATGTTTCTATCTCTCCCTTCTCTGAAATCAGTAAAATATATATATTAAAATGAAAAAGAAAAGGCAGCAATAGTTTAAAAAAAAGACAGGTGGTCCAGGCATAATCTGGTGGTATTTTCCATGAATGGATTTCAAACAGGTCTGACCAACTCTAAACCCAAGCTTTTCAGTCACTGAAGCTATAAAGGGTCTGAGCTTGGAGTGACCAAATACTTGGGTACTATTAGAAATTTTCAGTAAAATGCAATACATAAATTGGGACAGTCTTAGACAAACATTGATACCCTGCCTTTACTCCATTTGCCACACTAAAAAACGTGATTTACACTATCTTCTTAGCACCTGTATAAAAATTCTGGTTTGGCTAATGCATTCTGGCTTTCTTAGAATTTAGATTTGTTTTATGAGAAACTTTAAAACTCTTACCTGCAATGATGTCTATCTTGATTTTCCATTCTGCAGCTTTCTTTTGGATATGCTGAACATAATAACATGTTAATGTGAACTGATTTGTAAATATTTTTAAATTGCTTTTTACTAATACTTGGTATTAAGTTTTCAAAAAATTCAAGCTTTTAAAACTTCATTAGAATTTAGATCCTTACATTTTTTTCAATTGATTGGATCACATTTAGAAAATAAACCAAGCCATTTCAATATATTTAACCATCTGAGCCAAATTACATATTTAAATAAAATCCAAGTCACAAAGTTATTATTTCAGAAATATATCAAACTGTACAATGTAACCATAGTTTCTGCAGCATTATTTCATCAATAATTAATATATAACTATCCTGGAAACTATTTAACAGAGATCTATGTACATGGTCAGTGGCAGTGGGGGATAGTAGTTAAGAACATGGTCTCTAGAACCAGACAGCCTGCATCTGAACTGCTGCTCTGCTACTTACCAGCTTTGTAACCCTGAGCTACTCATTCTTTTTGTGCCTCAGTTTCTTCATCTGTTAAATGAGGATAATAATGGTATCTCTCATCTGATTGTTGAGGAATATGAAAAGTGCTTTGAACTGTCCTGGCACACAGTAAGTACTAAATGTTAACTACTTATAGGACTAAAATTCTTGAACTACTTCATAAAATTTTTGGTTATAAAAATTGCTTTATGAATTTTTAAAAATATATACATTTCAACGTAAATGGAAAGTTGCCCATAATCCCCTAAATAAATTATGTGCATAATTTGCTAGAAATCTAGAGATATTAATATTTGGTATAAGCATTTTATTCATGTTGATAGTATGATTAAGCTGGTTGATAAACTAACTTTCCCTAAATTTTAGGGAAATATTTTCATTATAAACAATACTGACACTGTGTTTGTGCATGTAGTTTTTTCTTGAATTTAATAAATAATCCTAGTTTGGGTATATTTTCCCATTTTTGAAATCTAGAATTTCTGTATAAGAATACAGACTTGCCTGACCAGTGTTGCTCAGTGGTTGAGTGTGGACCTATGGACCAGGAGGTCACAGTTCAATTCCTAGTTGGAGCACATGCCCAGGTTTTTGTCTAATATTTACATTTACTTACCAATAAATACATTTCACAGCAAATCCTTACAACACTAATGATTTCAAAAATAAATGGCAGAATATCATGATGATTTGAACTTACTTCTCTAGTTGAGGATTTGTGTAAAGAATATACTGCTGTTCTTGCCATTTCCAAAGCAGTCTTCAGAAATGCCATATCTGTTCCTGTTAACAGTAGAAAAAGCTCCAATTTAAATTATATACCTGTTATCAAAATAGAAGATTAAATGAATACCAGGTATTAATAAATATGAAAATAGCCACTTCAAATTGTGCAAAAAGAGTACAAATAAGTAAAACATCCAAATATAAGTTGATAGAATAAAACCAGAACTATAATGTCATATTTGAATAAGGATAAAGTAAAAATTTTAGTATCATATTCCAAATTAATAACTTTCAAAGAAGGGAGAAAGGAACAGAGTAGTAATTAGAATCGGGTGGGGGTGGGGGGTGCAAAGAGGACTTTTTCAAACTGCATGTCTTTTCCTCTTACTGATTTCCTACCCTCCTTGCGCACAGCATTCTCACAAAAAAAGCCACAGTGAGTCACTGTTACTGAAAGAGGTTCCAGCACTAGCTGGTTTTGCTCAGTGGATACAGCATCAGCCTGCGGACTGAAAGGTCCCAGGTTTGATTCATGTCAAGGTCACATGCTCGGGTTGCAGGTTCACTCCCCAGTAGGGGGCATGCAGGAGGCAGCTGATGAGTGATTCTCATCATTGATGTTTTTTTTTGTTTTTGTTTTTTTTTGTTTTTGTTTTTTTTAAATATATTTTATTGATTTTTTACAGAGAGGAAGGGAGAGAGATAGAGAGTTAGAAACTTCGATGAGAGAGAAACATCGATCAGCTGCCTCCTGCACATCCCCCACCGGGGAAGTGCCCGCAACCCAGGTACATGCCCTTGACCGGAATCGAACCTGGGACCTTTCAGTCCGCAGGCCGACGCTCTATCCACTGAGCCAAACCGGCCCTGGCCATCATTGATGTTTTTATCTCTCCCTCTCCATTCCTCTCTGGAAAAAAATAAAAATAAAAAAATAAATTATATATATACATATATATATATATGGGTTCTAGCCTTGGCTGGCATGGTTTAGTGGTTAGAACGCCGGCCCAAGAATAAAAGAGTCTCGAGTTCTATTCCAGTCAAGGGCACATACCTGGGTTGCAGATTCCCCACCCAGGCTGGGGTGTGTGGGGGAGGCAACCATTTGATATGGGTTCCAGACATGGATGTTTTCTCTTTCTCCCCCCCTCACTTCCAATCTCTCTAAAATCAATGGGAAAAATATCCTCCAGGATTAACCAAAAAAAGAAAAAGAAAAAAGGAGGTTCTATGTAAAAGTATAAAATACTTTATAGGATTCATAATCATTCATAAAGGGCAGGTAAATCATTGTTGAAACCAGATGGAGTATAAAAATATTTTTTTTTATTTAATACAAATTTGTGAAAACAAAGATTGAAAAATTCAATTCCCTATCCATGCATTACACAAATTGAAAATGTAATAACTATAGATAAGAAATTGGTGTATTTACTGTAGAGTGATAAAAACACTTAACCTAAACAATCAACAACCAACTGGTTTTTAAAACCAATATACCTGAGTTTTGTTACTAACCTTTATTATTTTTGGTTCCAAAAGGAGGATTCATAATTACTGTATCAAACGACTTGGACATTCTGTTAACTAATGAGCACACATCACATTGAACCATGTCAACATTTGTTAACTCGAATTCTTCCACATTCCTATTAAATATTTCCAATGCATCTTCATCTATGTCAAATCCAACACACAACCTATAAATACAAAACATAGACAAAGATCCACTATTTATGGCTTCCAAGTCAAAACAATAACAATAAAAATCATAACTCAACTGGCAAAGTAAGAGTGAGTGTTACCTTCCAACAGCATGATTTCCCAATCTGGCAGGGGTTGGAAACTCAGGTTTGTATACAAGGGAGACATCTGCCTGCTGGTGTTACTGGTTTTATTGTTGTTGTTGTATTTTTTTTAGTTCTGCTCGTTCAAAATTAACTCATTATACTATAGAGTCCCATAAATATAACCAGCTGATCCTATTTATGCTTATTAAAACCACCCCATACCAAATAATATATACTGGACCTACCCTGCTCCTAACATTGCAGTTCCGATGCTGAGTACTCCACAACCACATCCTAGATCTGCAACCACTTTATTTTCAATGTCATCATATGTGTTATGAATTGTATACAGCATACATGCTAAAAGATCAAAAAACATATTAGAGAATAAGTAAGCAAGTTGATGACCAAAATCCAATTTGTGCAAATGACTCTTTAAAACAATTTGTATTTCATTATCTAGTCCTCCCCCAAATGGTACCCTAGAACATAAGGCATAATACCTTGGTATGTAATACAAAGTCTCACACACAAGAATAATAAAACCCATACCAGTGGTTCCCCAAAACTAGTCTCTGGTGACAATGCCAAGAATGACAAAACTCTGAGGTAAATGAGAAAAATAAGGTCAATGTTTTTCCCCTCAATCTGTTTAAAACATTGCCATCCACACACATATATCAGTTATCTTTGATGTTGAAATATTTTTATGAAAGGATGGGAAGAGTAAATAGGTTTTAAAAATATCTTTCCTTGTTAATATATAAATTTGGCAATGCTATATCCGTGTCCAAAATTATTTTTTTTTTCTTAATTAAATCTTTATTGTTCAGATTATTACATTTGTTCCTCTTTTTTCCCCCCATAACTCCCCTCCTCCCAGTTCCCGCCCCACCATCCGCCCTCACTCCCCACCCACTGTCCTCATCCATAGGTGCACGATTTTTGTCCAGTCTCTTCCTGCATCTCTCACACCCCTTTCCCCCCCAAGAATAGTCAGTCCATTCCCTTTCTATGTCCCTGATTCTATTATGATCACCAGATTATTTATTCACTTGATTCTTAGATTCACTTGTTGATAGATGCATGTTTGTTGTTCATAATTTGTATCTTTACCTTTTTCTTCTTCTTCCTCTTCTTAAAGGATACCTTTCAGCATTTCATATAATACTGGTTTGGTGGTGATGAACTCCTTTAGCTTTTCTTTATCTGTGAAGCTCTTTATCTGACCTTCAGTTCTGAATGATAGCTTTGCTGGATAAAGGAATCTTGGTTGTAGGTTCTTGGTATTCATCACTTTGAATATTTCTTGCCATTCCCTTCTGGCCTGCAAAGTTTCTGTTGAGAAATCAGCTGACAGTTGTATGGGTACTCCCTTGTAGGTAACTGAGTTTCTTTCTCTTGCTGCTCTTAAGAGTCTCTCTTTGTCTTTTGCTCTTGGCATTTTAATTATGATGTGTCTTGGTGTGGTCCTCTTTGGATTCCTTTTGTTTGGGGTTCTCTGTGCTTCCTGGACTTGTAAGTCTATTTCTTTCACCAGGTAGGGGAAGTTTTCTGTCATTATTTCTTCAAATAGGTTTTCAATATCTTGCTCTCTCTCATCTTCTGGCACCCCTAAAATTCTGATGTTGGTACTCTTGAAGCTGTCCCAGAGGCTCCTTACACTATCTTCGTATTTTCGGATTCTTTTTTCATTTTGCTTTTCCGGTTGGGTGTTTTTAGCTTCTTCGCATTTCAAATCTTTGCCTTGATTCTTGCGGTCCTCTGGTCTGCTGTTGGGAGTCTGTATAATATTCGTTATTTCAGTCGTGTATGTTTAATTTCTAGTTGGTTCTTTATCATAACATCGAGGGTCTCATTAGATTTGTTGAGGATCTCATTAAGTTTATCAGCGGCTTCTAGACAGTTCTTGAGAGTCCTTAAAAGTGTGGTTCTGAACTGAATATCCTCCATTGACAGTTTTGTCCTGTTTCTTTGTCTCCGCATTTTTTATGCTTTCTTGGTGCACCCCCTAGTGGTCTTTGTGTGCAGTCCTCCTGTAGTTAAGCCTTGATTGTTGTAGTTAATACTAGGGGGATTTGGCCTCCAGGCCAACTGGCTGTGGGAATCAGCTGTGTCTGCAGTGGGAAAACTTCTGTCCTCTAGGGAGGTGCTAATCTAGGCTTTGCCTGAGGCTATCTGGCAAATGGCTCTGCGCAGGGCTTGGGCGGGGTGGGTGGGCCACTCGGGCTCGGGATCAACAGGGTGGGCCGGAGAGAGCAGTTATGGCGGCTCTCAGTTCCGTCCCTAGTGGCTCTGCCTCACAGAGTCCCAGCAACCGCTGCAAACCTCGGAGAGAAAGCTGCCTTCGAGTTCCGACTGAAGCCAGACAGTCCCGCTTCTCCCGTTTGAGTCTGGGTCCCTAGAGACTCGCCTGGCTCTGGAGCTCAGAATCTGAGACTCCCTCCCGATTGAAAGCACCAACCGCACCCTCCGCTGACAGCCTGCTCCGCGTGCACTCCGAACCTGAGTATTTCACTTCAGCACTGCGCCTCCTCTGAGTCTGGGTATGATATTCTCTTTCCTCCTAGTTGTAGAATTTCCACTCAGCCAGCCTTCCTGTGGTTCTGGATGATGTCCGTTCCGTCTTTTAGGTGTGTTTTGATTTGGTTATTCAAGGCAGCAATCTCTGGCGTTAACCTATGCCGCCATCTTGGTTCTCTCCCCAAAATTATTTTGAAATTTTACTGATTTGTGAAATCTGTAAGTCCAGGAACCATGCATTAACATTAAAATGGCACAGAACTTTTTTGCAACAAATTTGTCACCAGGTACCATAAGCTTAAACTAGAATGGCAAAGGAAAAAACCAAACCCACAATATAGCTTTTAGACTCACATATTTAGACACATACATTTATGATCTACAGACATATATTCATAATCTACTAATACAGTGGTTCTCAACCTTCCTAATGCCGCGACCCTTTAGTACAGTTCCTCATGTTGTGGTGACCCCCAACCATAAAATTATTTTCGTTGCTACTTCGTAACTGTAATTTTGCTACTGTTATGAATCATAATGTAAATATCTGATATGCAGGATGTATTTTCATTGTTACAAATTGAACATAATTAAAGCATAGTGATTAATCACAAAAACAATATGTAATTATATATGTGTTTTCCGATTGTCTTAGGCAACCCCTGTGAAAGGGTTGTTCGACCCCCAAAGGGGTTGCGACCCACAAGTTGAGAACCACTGTACTAAGAAGACCTGATAGAACTATTGAGCTATAGAGCAGAAGCTACTGAGATTGGAAAGGGATATTTCAAATACACAAAGGTCTGGTATATGCTGAAGGTTACTCATGAGTAAGATCACTGATATCTCCCTATGGATATATGAACCCTACAAGGATTACTGGCCATTACTGATGGCCCAGGATCCAGTTTTACCAAAAATACAATTATGGGACATCTCAGGCCGACTGTGCTGTCCTGATTATAGCTGCAGGTGTTAGTGACTTTGAAGCTGGTAAAGAATTAGCACATCCATGTGCATGTTACAACTGGCCTTTTAAAAAGCTGAATTCCACTTAGAAACCCTATAACCTGAGATAGTAAATAAGTCGTTATCTAACTTGAGTGAACTGGTCTTAATATTTGGTTGAAATTATGACAGTATGTTGGAGTTAGTTCCTTGACATTCACTGGCAGCTTAGAAACAAAACCATGTTGGAGCTGGATGAGTTTCCTCCTGGCAGGTGTTGCCAACAAATTAATTTTCCTAAGACTCCCCAATGACTTTGATAATACATTTATTAAATATGAATGATTTTTCCTGTATTCTTTCCTGTATTACTGGTATCATTCTCTCAGATCAAGCAACACTACTGATTCTCACTCGGATCATTTTTAAAATTGAAATGCATCTTCATAGTTACATAGCGCCTATTATGGATTTGTTAAAAGTCCTTCAGCTAGCCAGCTCTAGTATTCATTTCTAGGACAGAGTATAGCATAGAATCTGTGCTGACAATTCCTTGCAAAAGGAAATTGATCCTTATTTTACAAATATTTACTGAGCTCCTAACTAGTATCAGAAACTCTTCAGACACGGGGCACTGTGTGAAAAAGCCCAATTCTTTTCCCTTGAGGAGTTTACAGTGTAACGAGAGAAACAAACACATTAAAAAGACGTCTGACAGTATTAAGGGCACGCAGAAGCAAACAGTAAAATGGCAACGTGTGTGTCTGTGTGTGGGGTGTCTTTAGCTGTGGTGTCAAGGAAGTCCTCTCTAACGTGCTATGTAACCTTTCAGCAGATTTCCTCTGGACGTTCTTTGTATGTAAACAACTGTCCTCATTTCACTATAGAGTGAGCAGACAGGACTCACCCACCCGAGAAGCACAGGCGTGGTCACCAGCCGCCCTACCTGCAATGTGCGGCCTGGTGGGATACTGTTCTAGGAGTAACTTGGGCTTTTCGAATCCATCCACTTGTTGCAGGCGACTCTCTAGTTCTTTAAGTCTTAATTTCTTCATTTTTTTTTTTTTTTTTTTAAAGTGTGGGTTCTCAGGGTTTAACGGCACCGGATCTGCAGAGAAATTATTTAACCTGAATTTCCCGAGCCCCCGCGCCCCCGCCCGTTTTTCAGCGCCGCTGGCCCAGGGGCCGGGCAGGGGACGAATGGCGGTAAGGACACACCGGCCAGGCCGTGTGCGTCTCCTCCCGGCGCTATCGGCGAGCGGAGTCTTCCGCCAGCCTCTGGGCAGCCTGCCTCCAGGGTATCCCGCGCCGATCTCAGGATCCTCGATCAGCGGCGGCTCCAGCCCAGGTTTCAAGCACCGCATCGGCGCATTTCAAGAGGTTGCTAGCGCCGTGGCTGGGGCCGGAAGCGCCGCTAACCAGGCGCGCTCGCGTTCGTCCCAGTGCTGCCTCCGAGCTGCAACCGCGGCCTTGCTCACGGGTTCCGCTGGCGACTCAGTGCTCCTCCACTTCCACTCCCCCCCCTTCTCGCTGAGCCCCAGCCGGTTGCACCCCCCCGCCCCCCCGGCCGTTTCACTCAAAGGATAGGGGAACAAAGGAACAAAGAGGGTGTAAGTTACAGTCACTTTGTTTACTTTGTTTTAATGCCCAGTGTAGCCCTTTCTGCCCTCAGTCTCCCAACTCCCCTCTCAAAAAGCAGCGATGTCCTCACCTTTGCCTCCTTGGTCATGAGCATGCCCTATTTATTATAACTTTGTTTCCCTCTTTTTAGGTCACCCGTGTCACTTACTCAACTCTCACAGGGTAGTGATGTCAGAGAAGCCCAAAGAAGAGAGAGTTTAAATGAAGAAATAGGTAGTAGTGTGAAATGCTGGAAAGAGGTCAGGCTTTCATAAGAGTAGGAGCAGAAATCAACTTGTAGTGGATATTGAATGGAATGAAAGTTTCGGAAGTAGAAAGAATAAATGTGAACACGTTTTAAGAAATGTGGCTATGAAAAGGGGAGTGAGAATTGATGGATTTGTAAGGTTAGGGGAAGCTTTCGAACAGGTTAAAGCGAATAGAAAGGTAGGGATTCAAAATACAAGAAAGAGGATATTGGATGGAGTTAGGATCCTGAGAGGTAGATTCTGTGCTTAAGTGAAAGGATTGCCTTTAATCTGCGAAATCGGCCTTTCATTTCATTATGTTAAAGGAAGAAAAAGAGGTGGTTTAGCCTGCGGACTGAAGAGTCCCGGGTTCAATTCCAGATTGTGGGCTCCATCCCCAGTAGGGGGCGTGCAGGAGGCAGCTGATCAATGAGTCTCTCTCATCACTGATGATTCTATCTCTTTCTCCCTCTCCCTTCCTCTCTGAAATTATATATATATGTACATATATATAGTGAAAATTATATATATATATATATATCTTCCTATCTAATAAAACAGAAACATGGTAATTGGCGTACGACCGCTACCCTTCCCATTGGCTAATCAGGGCGATATGCAAATTAACTGACAGCCAAGATGGCCGCCAGCAGCCAGGCAGCTGGAAACTAACATGAGGCTTGCTTGCTTTAGTGATGGAGGAAGCCAAAGCGTCCCTGCCTGCCTTGCCGGCCTCTCAGCTGCACTCTAAGCAACTATGTTACAAAAATAGAAGCTAAACAAAACCCCAGGCTTCAGCCAGCAGGACCGCAACATTGTTTCAAATACAGAAGGTAAACAAAGGCCAGAAACCTGCTTTCAGCAGTGGAAGTCTCATAGCTGGAGCCGAGCCTCAGAGCTAAAGCTAGCCCAGAATGAAAAAAAAAAAAAGGAAAAAAGGACAGGTTGGGAGCTTCAGTCACCCGTCAGCCTGAAAACGGCCCTCAGCCCCTCACCCAGGCTGGCCAGGCACCCCAGTGGGGACCCCCACCCTGACCCAGGACACCCTTCAGGGCAAACCAGCCGGCCCCCACCCGTGCACCAGGCTTCTATCCTATATAGTAAAAGGGTAATATGCCTCCCAGCACCGGGATCAGCGGAGCAGCGAGGCCTCCTGGGACCGGGATCAGCGTGACGGGGGCAGTGACCAAAGCCCCCTGATCGGCCCTGCTCTGTGTGTGACAAGGTGTGGTGTCCCAATTGCCCCCCCCCCGCCCCCCACGGGCCCTACTCTGTGTGTGACGGGGTAGAGCCATAACCTCCCCATTGGCCCTGCCCTGAGTGTGACAGTGGCGGCGCCCCAACCCCCTGATCCGCCCTGCTCTGTGGGTGACGGGGCGGTGCCCCAACTCCCCTATCGGCCCTACTCTGTGAGTGACAGGGGGGAGCTCCTCAACCCCCTGATCAGCCCTGCTCTGTGCATGACAGGGGGCGGCGCCCCAACTCCCAAATCGGCCCTGCTCTGAGCCCGACCAGGGGATGCACCTAGGGATTGGGCCTGCCCTCTGCCACCCAGGAGCAGGCCTAAGCCAGCAGGTCGTTATCTCCCGAGGGGTCCCAGACTGCGAGAGGGCACAGGCCGGGCTGAGGGACCCCCTCTTCCCCCCGAGTGCACAATTTTTTGTGCACCGGGCCTCTAGTATATATATACATGGATGGACGAGAATGAAGTAGAGGAAGTGGTGTCTGAGGCTGCTGTTTCCTGTGAAAAGTAGAATTCAAAGTTATCTGTTGTAAGGATTAAATAAGTTAATACATAAAAGTTCTTACACATAAAGTTAGTACATAAAGTTCTTTGTCACATAACACATACCCAATAGTTGTTGTTGCTGGTATTTGTTGAGAGGGAGGTGGCTAGAGTAAGGAGTTTGAACCAAATGGATAATTGAAAGTAGCCGGATATATGAAAAGAAAACAGACCTATATGTGGTTGAAAACATTTTTTCTATTAAAAATTTGATTTAAAATTTTTATTTTTAGATAATTGTAAATTCATATACAATCATAAGAAATAACACATAGAGATTCTCCATATCTTTTACTCAGTTTCCCCCAATAATAACATTTTGCAAAACTATAGTATCACAACTGGATATTGACAGATACAGTCAAGACACAGTATTTCCATCACCACAAAGATCCTTCATGTGGCATCATTTTAGCTTCCTATAAACAATGTATGACCAAGTTCCTATAACCAAGTTCTCCATATCCTCACCAACACTTATTATTTTTCATTTTTAAAATTATAGCCATCCTATCAGGTATGAAGTAGCAATTAATTGCGGTTTGATTTATATTTCCCTGATGAACATTTTAAAATATGCTTCTTGATAATTTCTATAGCTTCTTTGGATAAATAACGATCCAAATCCTTTGCTTATTTCAAAATTGGGCTATTCATGTTTTTATTGTTGAGTTGTAAGAGTTCTTTGTGTATTCTACATACTTGATCCTTAGCAGTTATATACTAGCAGTCTGTAAATATTTTGTCCCATTCTGTGGGTTGTCTTTTTTAAAAAATAAATTTTTATTGATTTCAGAGAGGAAGGGAGAGGGAGAGATAGAAACATCAGTGATGAGAGAGAATCATTGATTGGCTGCCTCCTGCACGCCCCCTACTGGGGACTGAGCTTGCACCCGGGTATGTGCCCTGACTGGTAATTGAACCATGTCCTCCTGGTTCCTAGGTCGATGCTCAACCACTGAGTCACACTGGCCGGGCTATTTTATTCTTTTTGAAGCAGCTGTGAATGGGATTGTTCTTTTTAGTTTCCTTTTCTGATAGTTCATTATTGGTGTATAAAAATGCAACTGATTTCATTATTTTGTATCCTGCTACTTTACTGAACTCATTTATCAGTTCTAATAGTTTTTGGTGTAATCTTTAGAGATCTCTATATACAATATCATGTCATCTGCAAATAATGACAGTTTTACTTCTTCCTTTTTAATTTGGATGCCCTTTTATTTCTTCTTCTTGTCTGATTGCTGTGGCTAGGACTTCCAGTTCTATGTTGAATAAGAGTGGTGAAAGTAGACATCCTGTCTTGTTCCTGATCTTAAGGGAAACATTCATAGTTTTTGCCCATTGAGTATGATGCTGGCTGTGGATGAAAGGCTGTAACTCTTAACTGTTTCTTTTAATAAATAGAAATTTTAAATTAACTCATTCTGTTAGTCTTTTATTTTGTCGTTAGTACTTTGTTTTTTTCACTCCCAGATTATAAGTAATAATAATTGTAGCAACAATAATACTGTATTTGTAGATTAGGTTGCAATTTATAATATGCTTCCATCAGTGTGTAAGCTCAGTGTAAGGAGCATTGTATGTGAATGGTGTTCCCTAGGTTTGTGTCATGCTAAGCCATGCCATGGACCATGTGTTTTGTTCACAGTAATTAGTAGGAGCTCAACAAACACTTATTGAATTAATTTGCTGCATGAATAAGGCAGTGGGTGAAAATCTTCTGGCCTTTAGTAGGGATGAAGAGAAGGAAACTTTCCTTGGATTAAAAAAAAAAGAATGGAGGAAAAGAAAAGTAGGACAACTTGGAATAGTATTGAATGATAATAAAAAAAGACCCCAGAGAGTTGTTAAGCATTCATAACCTTGGAAAAGTTGCTCCTGTAGAGGAGCTAAAATAGGTCAAACAATGCACTGTCATGCCGTTTTCCTCCAAAATATTTCTAAAGCACAACTTGAGAAAATTACTAAAACGTCTTTGCTTCAATATTAATCAAATGAGAGACTGGCAGTAAGTTTAGTTTGCAAGGTAGGTATTAAGCTAGGAAGAAAGGAAGGAAGGAAGAAGGGAGAAAGACAGGCACACTCAAAAACAATGCATGATTTTTCTACCAGGGTTTGTTCTCATGGTTTGAAGGCTGTGAAATGAAGGGTATCACTGCTATGTGTAAAATGGGGATAATGAGAAGTGCCTCTCAGGGTGGTTGTGAATCTTAAATGTGCTCACTGGTCAGAATTCCTGTACATAGTAGGCACAATGTTTCTTACCATGCGCAATTTCAACATTTGCCATTAGAACTGACAGATTTGCTGTGTATGTAGAGAAGGTCTTGTGTATATTTGGAGGCGAGGTAGAAATTGAGAAATTAATGTTCTAAGCATTGTGTATGTTTATGTTCCCAGCAGGTATGGCCTCCTCTATTTCTGATAGTAAGGATGGCATGGGGCCATCCAAGGTTTGAAGTGGATCTGGCAGAGAAGAGACCCTTATTCTTTGTTGTGAAGTGGGATGTGGCCTAGAGCTGGGGTTGGGAGAGGTCCATGCACAGAAGACAACAGAGCTGATGCTCACCGAAAACAAAGGTGTATACACCTCCAGGTTCATATCCCCCTTCCCTCCATTGTTTACATGATCTAATATGGTCCTCTGTTTGGCTTCAGCTAGTTCAAGTTGGGTTTTTATCACTTGCAACTAAAAAACTCTTGATTTATACAAAAACAATTTTGAAGTATTTACATTAATTTTTAAACTTCTCTGTTGAAGGTATCTACTTTAAGT